CGGTTGCAACGGTCTTGGATTGCGAAGTTCATCAAATGGATGTGCATACAGCGTTCCTAAATGGGAAACTGGACACTGAGGTTTTTATGCACCAACCTCCTGGATTTCAAAACAGAGGACTGAAAGGTGAGCATTTGGTGTGCAAACTACTGAAGAGCATATATGGCTTAAAACAAGCACCAAAGATTTGGTATGCAGTCCTCCATGAGTTCCTTACTACAATTGGCTTTTCACGATGTGACAAAGAGTATAGCATCTATGTGAAAAGAGTGGGAGGATTGAATGAGTTGATAAATGACATGTGCACGATTGATGATTGGATAATAATAGTCGTGTATGTCGATGATTTGACTATAGTGTCACCAAAATCAGAAGAAATCAGCAAGCTCAAAATTGAATTGAGCAATCGGTTCAAAATGAAAGACTTGGGCAACATCCATTATATCCTCAAAATGGAGGTTCAAAGAAACAGAAGTGCCAAGACCATGACAATAAGCCAACAGAAGTACATCAAGGACTTATTGGTGAAGTTTGGCCAAGAAAATGCAAAAGAAGTATCAACTCCTCAGTTAGTGGGAGTCGAGTTAGAACCTGAAACAAAGTTGTCGAAAGAGCAAATTGACAAGCAGCCATTTGACTATAGAGGCATAGTCGGATCACTGCAGTACCTGGTTCGAGGTACTCGTCCAGATATCGGTAACGCCGTTCAAGAACTAAGTAAGCTTCTTTCGTGTTACAATGATACTCATTATTATGCTGCACTGAGAGTGCTGAAATACTTGAAGGGAACATCTAAACATGGACTATATCTTGACGGGAAGTGCAAATATATATTTTATGACGTGTACACTGATGCATCTTTTGCGAGCCAAATAAGGATCGGAAAAGTATTACTGGATATTTGATCCGAATGGCTGGAATATGCATATCATGGGCAAGCTGCAAACAAATGTGTGTGTCGTTATCAACTGTTCAAGCAGAGTTGATAGCTTTAAGTGAAGGAGTGAAAGAGCGTGAATGGATCTTCATCTGCTAAAAGAAATGGGATTTCACGTGAAAAGACCGATCACTATCTGGACAGATAGCCAGGCAGCTGTCGATATTGTGAAATATCCATCAAATCACAAAGCTACGAAACACATTGAAATTCGTCACCTTTTTACACGTGACTTATCAGAAAAATGAAAAATCAAGTTGAGGTTCTGCCCAACCAAAGAAATGGTTGCAGATATCCTGACCAAGGCGCTGGCGCCCACACAGCTTGAAATACTTCGATTCCTCATGGGAGTTCGAGACCTTGGTGTGGCCTGGAACAATGAAGAGAAAAATGTTCTGTTTCAGTGGAGTTAGCCACGTCATGACAGATCAAGTGGGAGTGTTGAATATCAGTGTTAATTCAATATTATCCGTAAATTATTCCGGATGAGTTTCATACTGATTTACAAAGTAAGACATCAGTAGTGTCGCTTGCATTAGGTCACAACATTGGAATGAGCGGCCAGCATCGTCTGTAGATGTATCTTGAGTGATCTGCATGACACAGGCCTATATTATTCAGGGATTGGCTGCCCTCCGTTTGACACTCGTCAATGCCACGTGACGTCATAGCTAGCAATAGTTCATTAAGTTGGTGCGATGAAGCAGAGGCTTGTTTTCACTTTTGGAATTGCCCTTTAACTGAGCACCTTAGTACCAACCCCTTTCAACCCCGCCACTGTGTTGCCCGCGTTCATCTTAATAAGCCTTAAAGATGCTACTACTGTAGTACCGTTACTCTGGACAAGACATTCAGAACTGTACAGCATACACTGGCGGAATGTACTATATAGGTACTAGTAGAATGAAACAGAAAATGGAAGTAGAAGGCACAGCATATATGAACGTGCGAAGATGCAGGTAATATAAGGCTCTCATAATCTTCTGCAATTGCGCTCACTGTGGCTCAAATGTGCTTGTGAGCGCACTTGAGACGATGAACCAACGTTCAAAATTTGAAGCCACACAGAATGCTCAAGTTTAGAAAGAGGTAGCGTCGATGGCTCAGCCCCGTATGAATGAAACCACGACAACGTCGTGTAAATGTCGTGTTGGTATATCCAAGCCACAGTGGCGATCAATACTACGACATCACCACAGGTCTACAGTAGATCAAATGATGCTTCGTCGTGCATGCAGATTTCTGAATAAAAATACGACCTGGACGTGCATTTTAATAAAACCATGCATACATTATTTCATATAATTTTAAAAGGCTTAACGTCTCACTCTTTTTGTGATACGGAGGAAGCACTAAAAATCAAAATTACGAAATCGAAAGGAATTTACTCATAATATTGGTTAATCACTCAGTCATATCCAAAATAGGTCCAGGCAGTAGTCGAAACCATCACAATTTCCAATATCATCCAATAAATTGCTACAAGAGTGTGCAATTAGTTGTGTGACGTGACAATTGGCCAAGAGGTCTAATGCACTCAATACCAACACAGTGGCTGCTGCATAAATCATTCGTGTACACAAAGGCGTGACAACCATTACTTTCACATCTCTTTTCGCCGCCATGGAGTTTTCCGCAGATTTCAATTGGACACCTCGCGCGATGGCGACGGCACATCCCAGACGCCAACGGAGCTCCTTCGACATCATGGCTGAAGGGATATATTTCTCGTCGCTGTTGGCTGCCATGAATTCGAAAATGAGGTTATGATTGTCTGAATTTTCCTATCGGTACAATGTGCCTGCCTTTTCTACATCGCATTTTCTACTTTTTTGCACAGCTTTATATATTGTGATTTGAACTTGTATTGGCGTCGGTTTTACGTGGCTAAAAGAGTGGTACTTCTGTAGTAACTGTGTTACAAAGTTGAATAAATACCTGGTGTTTTAGCTAATTCACTGGGGTTTTATAAATGCCAAATAACTCTGAGCAATAATAATCACATGTGATCCTGAAGTGACCAAAACACCTTGGCTATTAATTCCATCGTGTAGTACACGCTACCTGCATGTACTATGCGATGGAACAAGAAGATGGCGTGGTTTTCTACGATGTGGCACCATACATACATCGTGTACGGTAGAACTCCGGCGCTTGTCCTCGGGGTGTGACATTTGTAATATCAAAAGTTGTTTATGGTGACCAGTGAATTGTGCAATTTGGTCCCGAGAATAGCACATATAACTTCGACTTGCACTTTTCAAATGTGCAAAAGCGAGGGAGTTGCATAAATGACCTCCCTATAATTACATTCTGTAACGAAACGTGATCCTAAATCACGGTACGGATTATCTAAAGCACTGGGGTCGATGTAACAAACACCCAGGTTTATGGTGTGAATAGCCAAAACAGTGAAAAGCACAATAATCGTTTTCTACATGTTTCCTGTCACTTGTCAGTCCTAGTGATTCCGTTGTTTTGAAATAGTGCAACTATTCTGGAGACATATGTGGACGTGTGTGGACGTGTGGGGGGTAGGCAATATTCGCCAATCCGATGGCTGAAGTACAAGCTATTGGTTTCAAGGCGAGTGGTTTCACTTTGATGTTTTACTTTGTGATATATAAGGATTTTTGCATTCATCTTTTGGTAACCAGCCGCTAATGACGACGAAGGACATCTACGAGCACTTCTCATCCATTGGAAATGAAGCGACGTTCAGGCGTTCTTGTGTCTACTGCACCAAGCCTATAGCTTCCAAACACACTGGTCGCTGGGAACAACATCTACGTACAGGAGACCACAAAGTACATCACGTAGCATTGACGGAGTTCGTGGATCCTACGCTTACAGGCCTGGCCGCGATGCTTGTAGCTCAGCTCCCTGTGTCACGAGAATTTGACGCTATAGGGTTCGACAGGGTAGGCGCGGCGCGGGTGAGCGTAAGACCAGACACAAGTGTGGGAAGAAGTGTAAGCGAGTAATTTTGGGAGGTTTGAACCGGCTTGCGGTGAATCCTAAAGCCATTCCATGCGACCATATCATGTACAGCATGGGTCGTTTCCTGAGGAACTACTTACCGTTGCATTGCACTGATAACGCGATCAGCATTAACGCCTATGTTGTCGAACTGGCGACATGGATAAAGACATCGAAACCCCCTTCATGAAATGCATCAAAAATGGCCCCAGTATGCCAAAAACACCGGTTAGGCTATTATTACGAGCGATCCACAGCGCTCGGCGAAGTGTATGGATGTACCCCGTCATGTGTTGGAGTACCAAGTCCGGGATCTCAAGCGACGACTCGACGCAGCTGAATCAAGCCTCGAAAAACAGGTGTCGAAGCAACGACGCCTTGGTGCTAACGGTATGAGGAGTTTCCAGCACACCCACTAATTGAATACAGAAACAATTTTGTATGTCATTGTTGAACTACATTTCGTGACCTTGTTCCTACCGATCATGCACAAATCTACAAATTCCAATATGGTAAGAAGCACCCCAAGCGAAAAGCCGACGAAGTGGACGATATCGTGGTAACGCCAGAATCAAAGCGTCGTGTCAGTATCCTTGGACGCATGGAGAGCTCACCCATAGCGCCGCTTGGTGTTTTAATCGATTCGCTTGACAAGGGCGACGCGTTCGTCAATTCATCGAACCACCATTACAAGCGCGGCTCAGCGGGCGCATTGTATTCATTGGTCGACGTGTTTCCAGTTCTACTGTCCTTACGGTGTACGGACAATTGCATCTATCGAGGACCTCCAATCATGCGCTTGCAATCCGACTGGCGAAACAAAGCGCTCCAACCTGCTTTTTCTTTACAGTGCTGTTGTGTTTGATGTTCCTTCTCTCGACCACGGCTTCATTGCTGGTCGAGTTGCAACATCCAGTCGCACATCAAAACACAAACGAGAAAATGGCAATGGACCACATGTTACTCCAATGTGAAGTCATCGACGTTTGTACCATAGTATCTTGCAGCATGAATATGATCTTAGCTCTATGAAGTTAACACGACCTCCTGCTTTTTAATGTTCGTGTGTGTTTGCTGACACAAGCCCACGGATATCTACAGCCACATGCATCGACAGCGAAGGCTCTTCACACACATACAATTATAGTGTGAGTCGAACATATGAATAAGTATCTTGGTTGCGGTAGTCATACCTGAAATCATGTAGCAACGGCGGAAGTCGGGGTAGATGTCGTTGTGTTCCAATGCGAAAACAAGGTGGCGTTAGTTGGATTGGTGGCTGTTCAAAGTAACGTAAAAAAATCATTTAAGACACGTCTGTGGAACGCGGCTCGGGTACAGGGAACGACGTTGAATAGTGCCGGGGGAATTTTAGCACCAAAAAAATTCGAACTGACCAATCAAAATTATGAAATATAAAGGACTAGACATTATTGGCTAAAATAGTCCGCGGCCAATTCAAATGGAATTTGATGGCCATCAACCCCTAGAACTCGATCACATGCTGAACACATTGCACGCAATGGGGCCGAAGAGCATCCAGCATCGAATCAGGTCTTCCGTTGCACAGAAGTTGCAAGCCATTGCCGCTGCCAAGGCAACTTCTGTGCGAGTGGCAGCTCAACGTCTTGGGTACCCCGAGTGAACATGCGACTCTGGGTCCAAGAAGAGTCCAAGCTGTTCGACTTCAAAGGCTCCAAGGCACGAAAGAAGAACACCGGTGACTGTAGAGCACGCCCAATCATACGCGAACCACACGCGCTTGTGACGTACATGAAGAACCAACGCCGACAAGAGCTTGTCGTCACATCTGCCCACATGCTGCAATTCCTACGCATGGACCATCTCAGTTGGATCGAGACCTACATGTCGACATGAAATACCGGGTACTTATCGTTTCTGCGTTTGTTGCAGCATTTTGCTGATCGTCTTCTCCAAACAACACATCTGCGAGCATTTGCTCTGTCTTGCAGTATTGGACTTTGGTTCTCCCTTTCTCAACTAAGTCTCGAGCAAATAGATACCTAGTCTCGATGTGCTTAGTTGCTTTGTGATTTCCAGGATTATGAACAATGTCAATAGCGGCTGTGTTATCGCACCAGATAACTATGGGGCCAGTTGGTTGGAATCCCATCTCTATAAGAAGATGACGGACCCACTCACATTCTTTAACGCCTTCGCTTAATGCAACCAACTCAGATTCTGTAGTAGAAACTGAAACACAAGCTTGCTTGTTACTGTACCACGAGATGCAGACTCCAGCAATTATGACAAGATAACCAGTGATGGATTTACGCTCTTTTTGTTGAGTCGCGAAACTTGCGTCTGTGTAGGCTTCAAAGGAAACACTGCTTGTTTTCCGTCAATTAGAAGTCCATATGTAGACGTCTCTTTTAAGTATCTTAGTACTCTCAGGTCTGCTTCCCAATGAGAACTATTGTAACAACTCAAATATTTGCTCAATTCCCGAACTGCATTAGCTATGTCGGGACGAGTACCATGCACTAAGTATTGTAGTGGTCCAACGAGTCCTCTGTAGTCAAAGGGCTGTGCTGCAATCTGAGTTGATGTCATTTGAATTTCTGGTTTCAGTTCGACTCCCACTAGCTGTGGAGTGGTTGATGTTCTACAACCTTCCATCTTGTATTTCGTCAGGAGATCCTTAATGAACTTTTCTTGTGAAAGTGCCATCGTTTTCTGCGACCGATTCCTCGTTACATGAATTTTAAGTATGTAGTTGAGATCGCCTAAATCTTTCATTTTAAAGCGTTGGCTCAGTTGAGATTGTAACTTATCAACTAAAACTTGGCTCTTTGAGATAATGGTGAGATCGTCAACATAGACAACTACAATAATCCAATCAATTTCACTATCTCCCACTTTTTGAACATACAAGCAGTACTCCTTGCTGCAACGTTCAAAACCGATGGATGTCAGGAACTCATGTAACAGTTGGTACCAAATTCGTGGCGCCTGTTTGAGTCCGTAGATACTCTTGATCAGTTTGTTGGACCATATGTTTGTCGTGACCTTGGATATATCCGGGTGCTTGTCGCATGTACAACTCAGTGCCGGTGGAATAACACCATATAAAAACGCGGTGTGTACGTCCATTTGCTTTATGATGCAATCAAAGATAACACCGATGGCTAGAACAAGTCTTAAGGATTCAAAGCGAGCAACTGGAGCATATACATCATCGCAGTCTACTCCGTATTCTTGGTGACAGTCTTGTGCTACAAGACGGAGCACGTTTATCAGATTGTCGCTCATTTGTATATCGCTCCACATGGTTAGGATACTTTCGTTTACCATCCGATGTAAGTTCTGTAGTGTGATCATTTACGTCTAAATGAAGCTCAACTGGCACGTCTGCCAGTGCACATGATGGAATAGCGATATCCACAGACGAGTCAGAATATACGTCATCGGGTGATGTAAATTTAGATTCACTTGGAAACCACTTTCATAACTTTCTGGTGGTTGAAGCAGGTCAACAGCACGAAGTTCAGTGCTAGTCAATGGGGTCGCCACGTCAGCGATTGCTTTCTCTGTAATCGCTCGGGCGTGTTCGTGGTCAAAGGTGAAATCCCCCGAAATGAGAAAGCGATTATTATGTATATCCAGCAGACGATATCCTTTGTAGTCCTCTGCCACACCTAAAAGGCGACATTTTAACGCACGACTTTCCAATTTCTTGTCCTTTCGTAATTCTTTTGGAATATACGCATTGCAGATGGCTCCCCAAGGTCTGATCAGGTACTTCACCATGTAGTACTTCGAAGGGTGTTTTGTCATCCAGTCTGTGAGATGGTGTCCTATTTTGAAGGTACGTGGCATACATAAGAGCCTCAGGCCACCATTTTGACGTCATGTCAGCATCTAATAGCATGCACCTGACCTTGGCAAACTTGCTTTGATGGTCTCTCTCAACAGAGCCATTCTCTTCCGGTGAGTATCGATTTGACTTCTCGTATTTTACTCCGAGTTTTCGGAAAAACCCTAGAAGTGATTTGTTGTTAAACTCAGTCCCACCGTCAGTACGCACTCGACGTACGACACTTGTCACACTGTCGCTGGACGAGTTTCACGAATACTTTGATACCAGTTGGAATGGTGTCCTTTGTTGAGTGAAGCGTAGCCCATCGATACGACGTCGCATCATCAACAATTGAACAGTACTACCTAATCTGTCCAAGTGTGCCATACATTCCAGCTTGTTTAAGGGGGCCACAAGTGTCCATATGAAGTGAACCAAGCGGATTGGGGTGCCTACTTCCAATCAACACTTTGTAGGACATTCGACGATGCTTTGCGCGGACACATTTCCTGCAGAAAATACGTAACCCACGTAAACAGTCAGGGTGACTACGAGGGGCACCATTGACAGTACCCTTAGTCAACATCGAAATTAACGCCACATATTGACATCTAAACGAATATGCCATTCTCTGATTAACTTTATGGCTCGTTGTTTTTTATGGACAACCGTGACTGGTACGGGGGACCGCATTACTTGAGCGCATCGAATTTGACGTTCGATATCAGTCCAACTTTTGACATAGTAAGCACCATTTATCGAGGTGCCGATGAACTGAAGCTTGCAGTTTGAAAATACATACTTGTACATTGCACAGGCACTATCAACGATATGGTAGCCAGAACGCTTCAGAGCATTTTCACTCAGGATATTTGCCGTTGCGCCTGGCACGAAGGAAACACTTTGAAATATATACTGGACTACACCATTTGGAGACTCAAGCCACAACTTCGCAACTCCCATGTGTATCAACGAGTTTATGACCACCAGCAAATGAAAATGTGAATCCAGAATGCATTGTTAAGTTGGTTACTACGTAGTAAAAAACTAACGTCACCGGTCATGTGGTGACCACAACCACCACCAGTGCCCATTCACGACTACTCATTTCACGACGAGTGAGTAAATTCGGACACTGTAATTTTAATACCTGGTCACGCATGGATGCCGCCATCGTCTCGACACGAGGAGTGGACGTCGTGGCCACAGCCAAAGCGGGAGAGTAGGACAGCATATCGCTGTCATCAGGGCACGAAAACATGTCGTCCATAGACATGTCCGGCAGGTCAAATTCTTGACGGCTTGGAGGCGAAGCAGGTAATGCCACTTCTTCACGCATCACGACGGCGCCGCAGGCCACTTCGGTGCGAACATCACGACCCTTGGGCACCGCATCTTCGATTCGCCGCGGTTCTTCAAAAATCGAACTTCGCGCCCAGCCCCGCCGAAAGTCATCCTGACGCTTAGGGCAATCCCACTTCATGTGGTCCACGCCGTTGACGTTGTATTTGCCTTCACAGTAGAAACACTTGCGGCTCTTTGGAGTTGCCTTGGAAAACGCCTTTCCGGTGTCATGACGCTTGCCCTGATTGGCTAGATTTCCGGATGACTTTCGTTTCCCATGGTTCTGATTGGATGAAAAGTTAGCATTGCTAACCGGAATATCCGGTCGTGGAGTTTGACCTCCCATGGTCAAAATTGCATGTTTCTTCTTTTGACCCAAAACTCCAACAAGTTTAGCCTCTACCTCAGCTAGGTTAAAAAAACCATCGTACTTGATTTGTGCACCATAAAACTGAGAGGGTAGTTCATTCAATGCCATGTAAATGATCAAGTCATCAGTCACACTGTCGCGACCAAGGTGCTGACGAGATTGGGCATTGATCAGGTTCTTGAGGGACTTCATCTCACCAAACCATGACTGGGTGTTGTCAATAGTTTTTTTAGCCGTTTTAATTAATTGACCCATATAACCAGTCACAGATGAAACATTCGAAGTCCCGTAGCGACTTTCGACTTCAGGCCACACCTCATGCACAGGAGTTTTTCCATCAGTCGTGTCACGTAGCTGCTGGACAAACGACTTAGGTAGAAGACTATACAGGTAGAAGCGAACCTTTTGCTCTGTTCTCTTCCGATTGTACAAGTACCACCGGTCATGTGCTTCATTGCCAGTCGAGATAATCGGTGGCTCGCAATGCAACCAGTCCTCATATTTAATTTAAGGCTCGGGCAATGATTTTGGTTCCTTTAAGTAGTTACCAACCATCTCAAGGGTCATTCCCTCCATGTAGCTAACAAAGCTTTGGGACCTCACACGAAACGAGGACTTCTTTCCGTCGAACACCAGAAGTGCCAAGTCCGAGGTAAACTTTGATGAAGCAAACGAGATCACCAGTACTTGAAATATCAGATAAATCCAAGCAATACGTATCACGCTAACAAAAATCAATCGACACACACACACAAGCAGAGTGGCTCAGTTCGAAGGTGCGTATCACATGCTCTACAACATGTTAATTGGTCAATTCTCATGATGGCACATCCCATTATTCCGGATAACTAATTTTATCCGACACTTAAGTAATAAAATAATTTTCTTGACCCATAGCAATTTCACCGTCGACGCAGAGGAGACTGCGAACACCAACATCCCTAATGTAACGTAGTCTAAGACAGCGAGCCGTTCGAAACAAATGCGAGCATTGCATAAAATGTACTACAAACTTTTGGATAAATGGGGTTTTTGTTCCGATCAAAATGGAATCATATAGTACATGTGAGTATACTATAGTGAATACCTGTGAACATTTCGGGTAATTCCACCCTCCTTCACCCATCTCACCCATCCTCCAGAGAACATCCGCTATACTGTAGCATATACGAAATAAACTATAGCACAAGATTTGCACACATTGATTGGAACAAAAACGACATTGATCCGAACTTTTGTGCTTTCCAATCCTTGTCAAAATATAAATCTATTTGCGGCGAATACGGCAGCACAATGAAACGCAGCACCCCTTTGATGTGGACGGCTTCTTGAAGCTCGTTGTACTGTACAGTATGTACAATCAATGCATATATATGTATATTTGCATTGATTGGCCAAATCAAAATGAGCGTATGTACAGTACAAGAGCTTCAAGAAGCCGTCCAAATATACATATATTTGCATTGTCCAAAATCAAAATGAGCGAAGAAAGGGCCCAGCGTTCAAGTAAGAGATGATTCGCTTGGCCATCACACTATTGAACTTTTCACGGTCCAATGTTCCAAACGTTTCAAAATTACTCAAATGGCAAAAATATATAACACTAGTAGTATTCTATATCATAAAGTACCATCAGCATAATTCCAAGATAACAAACCCGACGTCGTGAAGGCAGCTAAAGTAGATACACGTTCGCCCCGCGCCAACGGTAGATCCACAATATAGCTTTAGTATTTTGCTTCGACCAAGAGCACTTTCGAATTGCATTGCGGCAATCCTTCTATGCCTCGTCAACGAGAATAAGTTTGTCGGGGTACGAGTAGTACTGTAAGTTTGCAGGCGGCTAAAGTAACCCTCTAACTCGAAATCAGCAGCTTATCGTGCTCGTTTTTCTAGGACTTTATCGATGATTAGCAATATGCAGGATAAGAACAATGGGTTGAACTATCATACCTGTTCAAGTCAGCCCGAGGTCTTGCATGAGTACTCGACAAATGGTTGCGACGGAAACGATCCTGACCGAAAGAAAATGATGTCGAATCGCTGCTTAGCGTTCTTCAATGTAGAAGCAAGGGTGCAGACGGCGTAGTCTTGCACCCAAGCGATCACGTCAACTGGCCACCAGTTACCAATTACGTGTCCTGTGCATGTGAACATGGCGTTGTATCTTGCCACGGATCGCCGTGACATTCCGAGGATCAACCGCACAACATCAAGGTCGATGCCGTACACTTGAACCAGTACAACACACCTCCAGCGCATGTCAATGATGATCATCTTAAAACAACTTGCTTGTCACTTTCAAATGGGCAAACAACTTGAATAAGCTTAAAAGTACAGCGGCCGATACTTGTTAGCCAATCAACGCTTCTTGATGTCATTATTTGCTGTTGCTATCCGTTAAACCATGAGAGCCCAAATCCGTAATACAAATGTAGTACATTTCTTTAGCCTAATCTTAGGATGCAAAATTATTAAAGGAGGGCTTTAGGACCCGTGTGGCAACCTGAAATATTTCAATATTCTGGCCCAAAAAGCCATTTTGGGGTGAATTCAATAAATCTGATAATAATTGGAACATGTCTTGCTTGAAGCGTTTTAACCCAAATCCAATAATTCCAAGTGGAATTTCTCCTTGAGGAGGTCCAAAATGCCATATTACAAAATGTACTTCCATTTTGAAAATGCCGTTTTTGGTGTATCCCATTTTGCCAGAAAATCGAATGTTATTTTTGAAATGCCAATGTCAGACGATCAGACTTCTTCTACTTCTTCCTGTCCATTGGTATCATCACCTTGCTGTAGTCTTTCAGTGCACGCACCAATCCATTGCTGCCACGCCTCGAGCTGAGTCAGCCATGGGAATCGATTTCTGGACGACAAACAGGTCCATTAACCTTTGCTGTGTCACTTTCGCAGGAACATAATTCCTCACCGTGTGTTGTTGCAGGGACTTTGCCAAGGCTTGGTCAAGGGCATCCACGGTCAATGGCGTGCCACCCTGAACATTTGAGGTACGGAGGAGGTTACAGGGATCGATCTCATTGCTGGATACCAGGTACTCACAAACACGTTTGGTCCGAAAAACGACACCACGCCATGAGCTCATGGAAGTTGAATCGATGCTCCTTCGAAACATGCACACGGTAAAATGAACAACTGCGCTATAAGCTGTTCAGTGATATACCAATTGGTAGATCGGGTGTCGCATCGATGAGCTCACAAAGCCATTTGCGCAAATTGGTTTGCTCAAATTTTGCGACACCATCGTGCTGCGTGACAATGTTTGGGAACACAAATCAAATTTTGCGACACCATCGTGCTGCGTGACATTGTTTGGGAACACAAATGCCGTGCTCGTTAAGTTGACACGTCAAGCACGCAGCTTCGCATAGTAGCCGTTGGAAACCACACACAAGCAGACATGGGAACGCCAGGTGATACACCTGGCAATCTTCCGCGACCGTGGCCTTCTTGTGCCTGCGCAGTAGAACCGAGAGGTATCTTTCTTTTCCGTCAGATACGATTTGCACATAATTCCATCGCATGCCAAGTACCTCACTCCTACCAAAGTAGCCAAGGAAGCTCACTGCCAAGAGCATGCATGGAGCCCAAGAACGGATGCAGGTTGGACAGGGCGTTCACCAGCTTTGTACGGTTAGTGGTTGGCCTTATTTTCCCCGTCGATGTTGTTCTGTTTGTTGTACCTCTGTAGGTCGACAATACAGCGACGTGCCGTTGTGTGCTGGGCTGCGTTTGGTGTCACTCGTCTGGCATTGAAATAGGCAACAAGGGCTGGCTTGACCAAGTCAATGGTCCTTGGCTGTTTGCCCTGACTGTATAAGTGGTGGAAGAAGTCCGTACACTCCTCAGTCTCAGCTGCTCCAGGGTCAAAGCTGCTGTTGTGCGTTTGGAGGGACGACTTGAATTGTCTTTTATACGTGGTATTGGCGCGCCTTGTATATGCACCACGAAAAGACTCCTGGATGGTCTTCTTCGATGGTACCATCGGTGGCCACGTTGGAGTTATGTTCATAATGGTAGATATGAAACTGGTGTCTTTGAGATAATAGCCAATTATATATTGATATTGCACTATGTTGAGGATAGATTTATGCAACTAAACGACACATATATCGGATATATCGAAGGAGGTTTCTTCCAATAATAGTCCATTATCATGTCGGTCACCCAATAGACCTCTGGTTCAAATACTGAATTACTGCTCAAGATAATTGTTACATTGGATTTCGCCATTGGTATATTGGAAATAACGTATATTATGATCAAATATGAAGGTCATATCGAATGATTAGCTATTTCGACATAATATCAACATCCAGTGAGTAGATCAAGAGTTATTGTAATTGACAGCTAATATGATCAGTGCCTATAGATATTTCTCAACCACTCAAATATAGAGCGATATGCTGATCTACATCATACACCAACTTGATTGGCTGCCGCAGTAATTTCCCGAGCACAAGGGTGCAAATGAACACGACCCCCATACCTACACTGTTAACCGACTCGATCAGACTGCTGTAGAACATATATTCTTTGAAGCCAGTCATCATCATATACTAGTACGGATCCGATCGCAGACGTTACCGGCAAGAATCGGCATACCACAGAGGATTTTGATGAAGAAGTGTTACTTTATGTAGTGTGAACTTCACAGTCAATACAGACCATTTGTACTTGGATTTTGTAAGGATTAGAAATTTGCGGTTACATTCAAACATCAAGTATGAATTAAAAATGAATATTATCTGACCATGAATGTCGTTCCTGATCAAATGTTTGGTTTTGAGCATTTACGACATCATTTTGGAAATAACGTCATCATTCATCAGTAACTGAGTAAGATATCAAGAAATATGTATTAGACTAAATAACGTTGCAACTCGTGAAAAGCGTTTATATATTCAATATATCTTACTTCTGTGGAGACAACTGATGATTTAGGAAATTTATGACTTTTTAAAATGTAGGTTTGATGTCGGTTACTATTAATATGGTGCACATCACCTAGAACACAAAAACGCCTGGCTGCTATTTCGTATTTCGAAGTATTCATTTCTCAAATTTGAATAAAAACGAGACATAAAAATATATTTCGACAGACCTCGTAGCGCTGAAGAGATGTTACGCCTCAAAACCCAATTTGGCGATGAATTAGTCGAGTAAAAGAGTATAAACCATGTGGTATTTGGTTGGTATAGGGTCAATATAGGCCAATAGATTTTGGCCACGAAGATTACCTTGATGTTAGTACAGCTTATAACCGTACATCGTATGCGTACGCAGATACTCGGACACTTTAAAAGCAAGGTGAAATAGGCAATTTTGTATGAAGCGCAAGGTGGACCACCTTGCGAATTCCATAAATAATTCTGAAATTGTATTGTTTCAATGAAATATATCTTCAAGTTTGTATTGTATATTTTTATTTTTCATGTGTCTGTCTCTTTTTGGAATTCGCAAGTTGCGAATTCGAAATTGTCCAATTTTGTCCAATCAGATGCTTGAAATCACGAAAATCGCTGCGTAGATTCATTACGCGGTATTGCGATATATTCTACACTTGTGATGGCGGTTGATGCAAGGAGCCTTGAGATATTGTAGGCTGTTTATGAGAGCTTAACAAGTCAACAATTGGCACACCACTTTATAGAGGTATAGCATATATGAAGAGCTGTATACAGCTCAATTGTACGAAATACAGTACATTGCGCGTTAATAATTGGTGGATTGCCCTGAAAATTGTCTACTACATAGCAGTACTTAATACTACGTTGTACGAAGTACAATTTAGGGCACTTCAGGATTCACGTAGTACAATTTAGGGCACTTCAGGATTCAAATAGGAAAAGGATGCCTCAATCAGGAATTATGGCCATTCTCCGAAAAACAAAAAAAGTTGTATTGCAACAATTGGCATTCTACGTCGAATGTGGCACGTTCAAAGTTGTATTTCACTACAGTTATTGATTCAGGTGAGATGCAACAAAGTGATCTTGATAGTATTGGTTATTGTTATGAGGAATGGAGAGTTTCGTGACCCGTTGTGCAGTATGAATTGAGAAATCGCTGACCTGCGTCGCGCCTTGCATGCGCAATCTACAGGTTGTATGTAAATCGTTTTGCGAAACGTAAACAATTCTGGGGCTGACATGAATATACATACGCATGCTTACACTGTTAATACAAACAGCAATATACAGATGTTCATACAAAGGATATTATATAACTGTCGCGCGCATGCATACGCACGCCGTGGAAGTGGCAGATTCACAGTTCCTGGTTGACTGTCGCGCGCATGCATACGCACGCCGTGGTAGTGGCAGATTCACAGTTCCTGGTTGACTCGTACCCTGTTCTTCTAGTGAACATCCCCACTGCCCTGTCAGTCAGGTAGCAGCGTCTGCTAGCTGTGTAGGAGGTTTTTGTGCCTTCTAGAGGCTTTTCCTCAGAGTAGAAGACAGCGCATATTCGTCACGAAACATCACAGGATGTCGTGGCCAATCATAATCTAAGATTTGATTGGCTGTTGGAGGAACTGGCACATCTAGAGCCAGTTTCTCCTCTGTCGTCAGAATTAATTCACTTCCGGTTCTCCCCTCAACTACTCATCTGTCTGTTACTGCAACCTGCCCATCCAACTGGTTATGAGCCTTCCACCGACTTCCTCCTCTCGCGCCGCCCTCCCCATCACCCACCGCCTCGTCGGCGCCGAAAACTACGACGACTGGTTCCTCGAACTCACGTCGATCATCCTCCCTGGTGAAGCGTTGGACTCCATGGCCACGCAATGCACCGAGGTCGAGGCAGTGTGGTCCATGAAAGGACTCGAGCCTTCCGCGTCCTTGACAGCGACGTCAGGCGCATCCGCCATCATCTCGATGCAGCGGCCAACGTCCAACCTGGCACCACCCCCCCACCACCCCTTACGCTCGACACCCACAAGGTCGTGGGGGCCGCGTTAACTGAGTGGCTCTCGATCAACCGCTCCACGAACGAGGTGCTCGCGAAGGCGATCCGAGCAGACATCGAGTCCAAGCTCAAGGCCGAAAGTGCAGCGGTCAGCCGCGCGTGCGCACTAGTGCAGGCATCCCTCTCGGACACGGTGCGGCGCGACATCGCCGCCGCTAACCTCGAAAAATGTGCACACTGCATCATTTCGAAGCTCCGCGGCAAGTACTGCAGCGAGGAGCAGAAACACGCCACGGCGATCTCCATTTATCAACGCCTCCACTCGTTCAAGTTCCGAACTC